ATGGGCACTAAGAGGGCAGGTGATGCGGGGATCCCGTCGCCTGCGAAGAAGGCGGCGGCCGCGGCGGCCTCGCCAGCCGCTGCCTTTGGCGCGCCGCCCGCCGCTGCCTCTGGCGCGCCGCCCGCCGCTGCCTCTGGCGCGCCGCCCGCCGCTGCCTCTGGCGCGCCGCCGGCCCTGCGCATCGCAGACGGACCAGTCGATGCAGCAGGGTCACGTCAGGGAGTGGGTGCGCCAAGTGAAGCACCACGTCGACCATAGTTTGCTCAGCTTCCTGGGGCAGCGCAAGCGCGAGGTGTCCTTCGCGGTGCCCGCCAAGTGTTCTTTCATTCCGCCGTTGGCCATCACTGATGCTGCAAACCTCAGTTCGTTTCGCGAGGTCATGGACGACGACAACCTGGTTGCGAGCTTCTCCCGCACCAAGGAGTACGAGGCAGCGGGGGCGGGGTGGATGTTGGACCCGATTTGCTCGGACATCGACGACGTCAGCGCGAGCCAGCTCGAGGGCGCCGTGGGCGTGCGGTCGGAGGAAGCGCATTCCCTCTCCCCCAAGCACGCGGCCTCGCGGCGCCTCTCCTTCGACGCGCCTATCCCCGCCATGGTGGTCGACGTCAAGGTCGCCCAGCGGTTTGAGCCTAACAGGCCTGGAGTTTGCGTGACAGAGGCCCTGGCCGTGCTCGCGGGGCGCGCGGTGGTCATCGCGTGGCGTGCTGCTATGAGCGAGGCGCTCCAGCAGTCCAACGAAGACCGCGTGTGGCATCTGTTCAACGCCGCGTTGTCCGTGCCCATCAGGATGCGTTTGCTGCCTGATGGCGACGCGACCCACTTGGCCGCTCTGGCATTTTCAGAGAAGATGTTCTCTGCGTATGCTGCCTCTGGCGCTGAGTCCTTCTGGCGGTTCGCAGAAAAAAACGCGCCGCTTGACCAGCGTGGAGAATTGTTTCGCCAAACAGGAACCAGTGTCGAAGCTGGAGGCTGCGCTGAAGGCCTACGGCCTCCAGTTCAAAGGAAAAGCGTGCACCGCTGCAACCGCCGCGGCGCTGAAAGGTCTGTGCACGTTCGCCCTCGATGGTGCCTGCAGTTCGGCTTTCAAGCTGGTCGAAGTGCATTTTCCAGAGCTTCGCGACCCTACGCTTCTCATGAGCATCGGCTTCGCCTGCTCCACGAGGGGTGGTTCTGACGCCGAGGCCAGGGAATTGCTCGTTTTCATCGTGAACAGTTTGTGCGTGGCCCGCTTGGCGGGCGACGTCCCGAAGGGCGAGGAACCGGTCGTGAGCCGGATCGTTGGGCGCGATAGGAAGACGCCAGGGACCCCCCGCGCGCTCTTCAAGAAAAAAGAGTTCGTCGAGTACATCTTCCACGAGGCGCTTCTCATGAACAAGGAAGTGGGGGGCGACGTGGCGGTATTTAAGACGCCTCTCCACATCCCCCAGAAGTTCGCCGCCTCTGGCGCGAATGGGCCCGTGGCTTCGCGCCGCGCGTCCGACTCAGGCGGCGGCGCCGACGGGGTGGAGACGTTGTTTGCGCCCCCCGTGGCTGGGCATCGGAACGCCGTGGATGTCAAGACGACGGCGATGATCGACGTCGCGTGGCCTCTGCGGTCGGCGCTTTCGACGACGGAATTGCCGAGCTTGCCCAGCAGGAGTTGCAGAACAGCACCACTGGGTTCGTCTGGCACACGTACCTCGCCGAGACCAGCCAGGGCGTTGACGCCAAGTACCGCGCCTTCGTGGCCGCGTGCACGGGTGGGCCCATCACCGCCAACCCCGATGAGGATGCAAATCTCGGCTTGTCGGGGATCTCCGAGCTCGGGGGCGAGCAAAGGGCGGAGCTCCAGAAGCTCCAGGAGCAGCTCAAGCAGCTCCGCAGGACAACTGTGAAGTTCGTCAGTTTGCCGTCTGTCGGCGGTGCCTCTGGCGCGGAGTACGCAGCGGCGCAGATGCAAAGCTTGTGGGGTGCGCTCAGCCTCGGGCACCGCTTCGGGAGGAAGAAGAACGACGTTCGCGCGTTCATCCTCTCAGCGGACTCGTTCCCGCCCAGCGTCGTCAAGCAAGGCGCCAAGGCGAGGGTGAACGAGCAGGTGGCGTGTGGCGGGGCGAATTTCAAGCGCGCCATCGAGTTCTTCTTGCAGAAGAGGCAGGAGGATGATGCCCTCATCTTCCTCGACGGCAGGGGCCGCGCGAACCGCAGGGTAATTGAGTCCTTCGATGCGAAGTTGGAGTCAGGAGGCACCCGCGCGCACGTCAGGTGCTGGTTCGTGCGCGAGCAACCAGCGAAGAAGGTGGGCCCGCGGTCCGCGGCCAGGGCGTCGAGCTACACGAAGAACAACAGGGGGGCGGCCATTTTCTCGATGCCACTCGAGGGCCCGCCGCGGAAAGTGCTGCACCGTGCGGAGTTCAACGCGTGCGGCGAGTCCTCGACCGCAGACGCGTCACACAGCGGTGTCCCCGAGCTTTTCCACGACCGCATACACGTCAACGCGCGCGGCATCCTCGACCGCATACGCGTTATCGACCGGCGTTTCTCCGAGCTCCTTCGCATGGACCACGAGACGAGGATGAGCACCTTGGGAGCTGCATCTTGCGCTGGCGTTGACGGGAAGCAACCGCGCCTGCAGGGGGGCGTCGACTCGAAGGGCCACCGTGGGCCACCCGTTCTCGCACGCCGAGGTGAAGCCGCTCAGCTTGTGGCAGGCTCTCGTGGAGAACCACAAAGCGCCCCACGTCGTGGACTTCACTCCAGGTTCTGGCGCTTTGGCTGTTGCCGCCCCTGGCGCAATTGAGTGCGAAGGCATCGCTGCCAACGATGCGCGCCGGGACTGGCTCGATTCCATCGTGCACAGGTGCGCGATGCACAAGGCGGGCCACGAGGAGGAGTACGCGGAGCAATTGGGCGGCGACGCCGAGTTCGCCGAGAAAGCCAGCAAGTATTTCAGCGGAGCCATGATGGAGGCGAAACGTCTGTGGATGCCAGCGGCCGGGGACGGCGAGGACGAGGAGGAGGGGGGTGGCGCGAGCTCGGACGACGAGTAGGTGGGCATTTGACACGCTGCCTCTGGCGTGCCACGACGCTGCCTCTGGCGCGCCCGCTGCCGCGTGAGAGGTCGCTCGAGCATTCGTTTTCGAGAGGGGCCCAGTGGCATCGGTTCTGAGGATGAGTTCTGCGGCGGCGCCCGACTGTTATGTAGGCCCCGCGGCTGTCGGCGGCGTCGGCTCTTCTGAGGCGCGAATTCTGCGGCGGCGCTCGGCTCGGACATATCGCGCCCGCCGCTGCCATCGCCGCAGGTCGCGCGGTCGCGATGTCGCCGTCGTCATCGCCATCGGCGCAACCATGCTATTTGTGGTTATGGTCCGTCATGTTCTCACGGTTTTGGTTGCCATGTCCCGCGTCTCCTGCTCAGTTGTCCTATAGTCGCGCTTAGTTTTCTCGCGGTCGGGTCTAGTTTTCTTTTGGTCGGGTTTTGCTTTTTTCCTGTGGCCGCGTCAGTTTTTCTCTGGTCAGGTGTAGTTTTTCCTCGGTCGGGCGTAGTTCCCCCTTGGTCGGGTCTGGTTGTTCTTTTGGTCGGGTGTAGTTTTTCTGTGGTCGGATCTAGTTTTCCGCTGGTCGGGTTCAATTTTCTTTTGGTCGGGTCTATTTATTCCTTTGGTCGGGTCTAGTTGTCCTTGGTCGGGTTTAATTTTTCCGTTGGTTGGGTCTAGTTGTTCCCTGGTCGGGTCTAGTTCCCCTTTGGTCGGGTCTAGTTTTTCTCATGGTCGGGTATACTTTTTCTTTTGGTCGGGTTTAGTTTCCCCTTGTCGGGTTTAGTTTCTCTTTGGTCGGGTCCAGTTTTTCTTTGGTCGGGTCTAGTTCCCCCCTGGTCGGTGTTAGTTTTTCTTTGGTCGGGTATAGTTTTTCTTTTGGTTTGGTTTAGTTTTTCTCTGGTCGGGTTTAGTTTTTCCTTGGTCGGGTCTAGTTCTTTTTTTTTCGGATCTAGTTTTCCTTGGTCGGATCTAGTTTTCCGCTGGTCGGGTCTAGTTTTTCCTTGGTCGGGGGTAGTTTTCCTTTGGGCGGGTCTAGTTTTGCCTTTGGTCGGGTTTAGTTGTTCTTTGGTCGGGTCTAGTTTTTCCGTGGTCGGGTGTAGTTTTCCCTTGGTCGGATTTAGTTGTTTTCCTGGTCGGGTGTAGTTTTTCCCGGCCGGGTCTAGTTTTTCTCATGGTCGGGTGTAGTTCTTTGGTCGGGTTTAGTTCCCCCCTGGTCGGGATTAGTTTTTTCGTGGTTGCTTTCCTCTTCCTTCGGGTCTAGTCTTTTTCCTACAGGTGGGTTTTCCTTTGGTCGGGTCTAGTTTTTCCCTTGGTCGGGTTTAGTTTTTCCGTGGTCGGGTCTAGTTTTTTTCCCTTGCCGCTTTTAGTTTTCTCCTGGTTGTGTTTAGTTATCCCCTGGTCGCGTTTAGTTGTCCTGCGGTCGTGCTTAGTTTTTCCTGGTCGCGTTTAGTTTCCTGCGGTCGTTTAGTTGTCTTCGCGGTCGCGTTTAGTTTTCCCTGGTCGCGTTTAGTTGTTCCCTGGGCTTTTTTGTTTTGCGTGTCCTCCTCTCCCTCTCTCTCTGGTCGTGTTTTGTGTTCCTTTGGTTGCGTTTGGTTCCCCCTTGGTCGCGTTTAGTTTTTCCCTGGTCGTGAGGAGGAGGAGGAGTGCGCCGCCGCTCCAGTTCGCCACCTGGGCCGTCGTCGCGGTCGTCGTCGTCGTCGTCGCCCCTTTCGGCGTCGTCGCCCCCCCCTTTTCCCCCCCCCCCTCGCGACCAGGGAAACACTAGACGCGACCAGGGGAAAACTAAACGCGACCAGGGGGGAACTAAACGCGACCAGGGTCGCGCTTAGTTTTCTCTTTGTCGTCGTCGTCATAAGAGAAGTCATAAGAAACCAGACCACCCCGAACATCCACTAGGACCTCGCCGCAGCTTTCCGTCACATTTCGGCTCGAGCCCGCCGTTGCTCAGTGTTCTTCGCTTCGCCACTAGCGCGCTCATTTCGCCTTATTCCGCCGTGCGCGAAGCCGCTGCCTCTGGCGCGTCGCGCGCTGCGCGGTCTCCATGGCGGCGCAATGGCAGAACTTCGAGACCGCGCGCGTCAAAGCGGTCGAAGCGCACCTGCTGGAGCAACGCGTCAGCGACAAGAAGATCACTCGGCACACCGCGCAGAATAACCATGCCTCGACGCGCCTTCAAGTGCACGGAGGCGCTTTGGCCCCAGCCGTCAGCAAGTGCAAGGAATGCGCTGCCTCCTGGCGCGGGCTGGCGGTGCACCCTGACTTTGCCGAACAGCTTTGCGCCGGGAGATGGCCGTCGGCTCGTTGCGATGGGGGAAAGCGCGACGAAAGGGGAAGCGTCGGAACTCGCTTGCCTCCGAGCCGTCGCTTCGCTCGCCAGCGAAAACACAGGCCAGTTCATGCTCCGACCGAAGTACTGGAAGGCGCCGCCCGACGAGCTCGTGGCCACTATGCCCGGCGCCGCCGCCGACCCTGCCTCTGGCGGGCACGCGCTGCCAGCGCGCACCCCTGCGCGTCTCCAGGACGCGGGCTCGGAGGCCAACGCGCCTGACGCTGACGCGCGCTTGGTTGAATTCAGCGACGTTCTCAAAACGCACTGCGGCGAGTTCGATCCTTCGCGGATCTCCCGCGACAAGTTGTGGTGGCGCGACGAGCGCGCGTTCGAGACGTTCAACAAGCTTTTGGCGCCTGGGGGGCTGAAGGACTTTCTAGACAGACACTCCGACGAATTCGCTTGGCGCGAGAAGGCCGACAACAAAGGCATGCTCATCGCATGGGCGAGCTGGGCGCGGCAGGAGGAGCGCGCCCCGCCATGGGCGCGCCCCGCCATGGGCGAAGTGGACGCAGGCACTGCCTCTGGCGCGCCCCGCCGTGGCGAGCGCGCCCCAAAACGAAGTGGCCCCAGGAAGCTGCCTGAAGCGGCCGAAGGGTGCCCGCCAACTGACCTTTACATTGACGCCTCTTAAAGTTAGCCAGCTTTGTTTAAGAGCACGGGGGGGCCTTGAAAGTGGGGGCAGGCGGAACTGGAGCGACAACCCTACTGAAAACAAACGACTGCCATGCAAGCACGAATATCCAACACAGCAGCCGAAGACACGAGAGCAGTTGCCGCCAGCGAGCCTAGAGGGGGAGATCCCCCCGAAAGATGTTCAAGAGGCGAGCCCGAGCCACCTTGGGCCCAAGTCCAGAGCGGTGCCTGACCTGGCCTCGGGCCTATCAGGGCCCGCGATAAAACTCGGAAACGCATCAGTCCCAGGGATTTAGTCCCCAGGGTGGGAGCGGTGGGGCCGAAACTGCAGCCAAACAATGGTAATGACATGCAACGAAGGGATGCAGTGTAGGCGGCTAGATACATTGACGATGCTACTGTAAAAGTGTGTTTGTAAAACGCGTATTTACATTGACGCCTCTTAAAGTTAGCCAGCTTTGTTTAAGAGCACGGGGGGACCTTGAAAGTGGGGGCAGGCGGAACTGGAGCGACAACCCTACTGAAAACAAACGACTGCCATGCAAGCACGAATATCCAACACAGCAGCCGAAGACACGAGAGCAGTTGCCGCCAGCGAGCCTAGAGGGGGAGATCCCCCCGAAAGATGTTCAAGAGGCGAGCCCGAGCCACCTTGGGCCCAAGTCCAGAGCGGTGCCTGACCTGGCCTCGGGCCTATCAGGGCCCGCGATAAAACTCGGAAGCGCATCAGTCCCAACCCCATCAAATCGAGACTGGCATACATGCCTAAACACCAGCCTTCAGCAGATAAGGGAGGGAGGGAAGGGTTCTTATCTATGTTGTGCTCCAGCCCCCCTGTTTTATGTAAAACCCCCGGTCCCATCTTTGCTCTTTGTTCTGTTCAGGAATACAGGGGAGGACAGGGGGCACTCGACACACCTCAAGGCACGCTCCAGCTATGCTAAAAGATAATGATAATTATCACTAGCCGCGAGCCACTCTCGTCTTGCGGCTGTGACGGGCTCGGGCTGCTGTACTCGGGCGGCCCGTCGTCAGCACCCGCCCGCCGTCGAAGCAGGGGATCTCAACCTGTGTCCCCTGCACCCCCGCCAGCTCCTCCAGCAGCTGCTTTGCCAGGGGAGTCTGAGCGGCGGGGGACTGCCCGATGAAAGTCATCAGGGCCTCAGACGGGCTGGCCCAAAAACTGGCGCCTGCCTTCACCTGCTCATCTGACATCTTCGCGAGCTGGCTGACAAGCATATGTGTCTTCGTGTAGCGCGCCAGGGCCGACGTTGTCTGCCACCTGCCCTTGCGCCTAGCAGCCTCCAGGCAGCCGCCGCCAGCCACGAAAGTGGCCGCCCCAGAGTGCCGAATGGCATGTGGGGGGCCCATGCCAGCGAGGCCCTCGTCCTTGAGGGCCTTGTGCCACTCGCGCCTGAACCTGTCCTGCGAGACGGGGAAGACGAGGTCCTTGCGGGCGCAGCCCCGCAGCAGGGCCCGCACCACGGCCGCGGTCACCGGCCACGAGAGCACCACGCCCTGGTTGGCGCCCGTCTTGACCTTCTCGCCCCTCTCACGCCTGCCGAGGGTGAAGGCAAGCTGCCCTCCTGGCCCCTCAGAGACGTCCTCGGCCCTGAGCTGGCCCCAGTCCTGTTCCCTGAGCCAGCCGTCCAGTTGCGTGAGCACCGCTGAGCCCTCGATGAGCTTCCCCGTGCGGAACATCCTGCTGATGACCAGCCCGACCGCCTCCATGGGCACAGGAGCGCCTTCCCCCAACTCGCCGAGCCGTGCCCACGCCTTCAAAGCTCTCGCCGACGTGGGCAAGCGGTCCCGGTGATCCTGGAAGACGTGCATGAATCCGTTGAACAGGCTATTGCCTCGCCCGAAGCCGAGACGTCGCACGTAGCACATGTCCGAGATGTAGTCTGCCAGCGCCTGGTCCCTGGCCTCGTAAGTGGTGAAGTCCAGCTGGTTCCTCTTGACGTCCACCAGGAACTCGCGCACAGCCTTCTGGTAGACCAGGTTCGTCGCGTCATCCACCGCGTGGATGACCAGGCGGTTCGTGTAG